TAATATATATATATATATATATATAATTACATTAATTACAAGATAAAAATGGTAATTAACTCTATTTAAACCCTTAGTTAGACCTCAGCTGGAATACTGTGTACAGTTTTGGTTCTCCTTATTTAAGAAAGAATATGGACTTACTGGAAGTGGTTTAAAGGAGGCTACTATGATGATCCCAGGGATGGAAGGGTTATCTTGTAGGGATAGAGTAAGATTGCTTATATTTTCCCTTGATAATAGAAGGGTAAGAGCTGATCTTATTGAAGTTCATAAGGTTATCTATGAGATAAGTAGCCTCTGACTTGTATTTCTTGTACTATAAAGAGAGGACACAAGTTTGTGTTTCAAAGTATAGAGCTGTGAAGATCCTTTGGGCCTACATTTTTAGATACTATCTACAGGCCTTACTAAAGTTATTAAGCAGATTAATACCAAGAGCATTAGGCAGTACCTGTGTTTCTAATTTGGTATCAAAATACAGCCTTGACACACACACACACACACACATAACTGCCAGAATAGAAGTACAGAGGAGGGAATAATCTGATAATGCACTCTGTGTGTTGTTAACATTACCTGATTCTTGTATAAAGAGGTGACTGTCCAACTGTCCAGATTTCATTGTACTTCTAAACAATACATCTTGTCACTTTTAAAACGCAATGCTAATTTAATCAGAGCAGTTCTTTATTGTAGACAGTGTGGTTGAAAAGTTTTTATGGAGGTGAAATTTACTTGTATGGTCATTTAAAGTGATGAGAGGAACATATCAGCTCTGTTGATTGATTTTCTATGTTAAGAATAAATGCTCAATGTGTATAACAATTTTTAAAAAAGTTATATATCAATTGAGAGAGTAGGAAACGTATTCCGATAAGATATCTTACCTCCTCTCACAAAATAGCATTTCTCGACTAACACTGCCCTCTATTCGTGCAAGTTTTCAATGCACACCACTAGCCTTCCACCTCCCACTTTTGTATATCCGTATGCAAATGACCATGCAGCAGCTCTCCACCAATACTGTACGGACGTGCTGGTTTTTGTTTGCGGATTTGCTGACATTTTCTTTTATACTACTGACTTAGTTTTTCTTTACCATTTAATTAAATTTTTGCATTTTGGTATTGTTAAAGGTTGTTTCTTTTTCACACTTTTCTTACTTTTTCAGGGGCCTTTTTTTAGTGTATTGTGGATCCCACTCTGTGCAAGTGGTACCTGACCAGGTATACTTTATTTTTTTGAAAATCTGCACTTTCCATCCTGCAACCATGCTCGATGTCAATTACATTGTAGCCTTTCCTACCATAGACCTGATGTACAATTCGTGATGCTGCTAGGTGCTTCTTGTATGTCTCCATTTTATTGTTGTTAAACAATTATATCACAGTTTTGGGTTATGTACAGGTGGAGTTGTTCAGTAGGACTGCTAGTAGTTCTCTCTAGTGGTTTTTGGTTTTATAAATATGTTTGTCATGGACCATACACTCATGGACTAACATGAGTAAAGCAGACAGAGATTGCTACCCATCTCTGATGCTCTGTAGCATTGAGACTCTTCCTACTGTGGACATGATGTACAATTCCAGATACTGCCAGGTTTTGGTTGATCAATCCCATCTTTGTGGTAGCTCTGCTTTTCAGAATAAGGTATTACAGTCACTCATTGCACTGTCTCTGGTGATGCAGTCCTTCGGACTCTCCAACCCGTTTTTTCCCCACTTTCTTCTAGTGGAGTATGGAAGTCCTTACCACATGCAAGTTCCTAGCTGTTGTTGTGGTGGACCATGGAAGCCTTTCCTGAGTGATGATTCATACTACTCAGTTGAGAGTAGGGTGGTGGCATTCCGCAGGTGTTGCTGGTGTATCTCACTTCCTACCATGGTTCTGATGTACAATTCCAGATGCCGCCATGTTTTAGTTGCAACACCCCACTATGTCATGAATTTATATACATATCTAGTATGGCAGTTTGCCCCTCAGACTGAGACGTTCCTCCTCCTTACCATTCTCCAGATGTTCTTTCCTTGTTTGTCTGGTGTTGGTTGGAGATGATCCAGCTAAGTAAGTACTTACATGTGTGCTGGCTGGTCTCCCTCCCCCTACTGTGGACTGGATGACACATGCCCACTGCTGTCAGGTTTTGGACTGGAGATGCACCCCAGGTTTGCGGTCCCTCCTCCTACCATCTGTTGGATGTCAGTTTCTGGCAGATCTGGTTGTAGCTAGATGCAGCACCTTTTCCTGCTTGTGTACGGTCAGATATTCTCTTTCTACCATGGACTGGAACAGAGATGTCATCTCACCAGGACTTTCCACCTTCCTACCATCTGCTAGATTTCAGTTCCTGGCAGATCTGGTGTTGGAAATGAGCACAAATGGGGACGTATTTTGGTACGGAAGCTCGTCTTCCCTACCACTTCCCACTTTGAGGTGAAGAGGTAGATGATCCTCTACCTACTGTGGATCTGATGTTCCATTCCTGATACTGCCTGGTGTTGGATGAGGTCAAACTACCACTATGGTCTGTTACGCCCTAGCTACTTGACACCAAGGAGTCCCATTCATTGATCCTACAAAATTTGGGATTCCTTCATGTTTTTCTACCTTTTATGTTTGCAACACTGTCTAAAAGAGCAAAGAGTATAGCTACATCAGATGTGGTGCGGTCTCCCTCTGAGGTGGGATGTTTTCTCTTTGGATTTCACACCTCTCGGTCTCTCTTTGGGTGCTTCATAAAGGGGAATCTTTGTTTTTATCGACCTTCCACCAGTTCAGTGTGGGATTCTAGCTATTTTGTGAGTGGAAGTAATATATCCTACACTGAAAATGTATTTCTGATAGATACTTACCTCCACTCATATTTCCCATCCAGTCTTCCCACTTCTGATGGTATATGGTGTAGGTGCTCTGACCAATCTCAAAGTGATTAATGGGTGCTGATATGAAGAGGATGTTGGTTACAATAGGAGTGGTGCCACACTCCTATTAGTGGAGAGCTGCTGCATGATCATTGTATGTGGATATGCAGAAGCAGGAGGTGGAAGGATAGTGGAATGCATTGAAAATTTGCACCAATAGAGGGCAGCGCTAGTCGAGAAAAGCTATTTTGTGAACAAAAGTAAGGATATGCAGAAGCAGGAGGTGGAAGGATAGTGGAATGCATTGAAAATTTGCACCAATAGAGGGCAGTGCTAGTCAAGAAAAGCTATTTTGTGAACAAAAGTAAGGATATGCAGAAACATGAGGTGGAAGGATAGTGGCATGCATTGAAAATTTGCACCAATAGAGGGCAGTGCTAGTCAAGAAAAGCTATTTTGTGAACAAAAGTAAGTATCTGTCAGAAGTACGTTTTCAGAGTAGGAAAATGCTGATGTAAGCTTACATACCACAATGTTTCATTACTTATTTGAAAGTTTGAAAGGAAATACCATTTCTTCGTGTTTATACAAATTTCCAAACTTGCATGTTGTTAATATCGCACATTTCAAGGTCAAAGCAAAGACTATATTATGTGTCATATATATTCCCATAGCAGTGAAAAAAGGTTAGTTTAAGAGGACACTTCTCATTATACTTAGAATAGTTATATAGTTTTGTTTTACTTATTGTAGGGATTATGATACATAAAAGCATTAACAGAAAGATAACTGGATTGAAGTTGTCATGAGAAGAAGCACAAGCTCTTGCTTTTGTTCTGGTTTTAAAATATTAAGAACATAAGTCGGTAATATGTACGTGTTAGAAGTCTTTTTTAACTCTGGACCAATAAGGGTGGTAATGATGACTTAAATATTATTGGTACAGTTAATAATTCAGGGCAATCTCACTCTAACTGTTTCTTAGCCACCAAGTATTTCTTTTAGCCATATTTATCTATTCATAGCCACAATATATATTCATCTAATTCTGCATTAAATATTACATTTTGGTAAGGAGCTGTTACAGTAGGAAAATATATTAACTTAAGAACAATTCCAGTACTTTTAAGTGTGCCTAACATCAGGCAAGTGGACCTACATTTTGTTTTTTATTCAATGCTCACATGACTTATGCAGTATCACACTAATAACCTAATTTACATGATTCAAGAATAGAAGCAGTGCAGTCATTGACTATACGGAAATCCTCAAAGCTTTTTTTTTACTTAGATTTGACTAGGTACTCTAAACTGAAGACCAAGTAGGAATCATGGTACTGACAGCACAATGAAGATATTTATAAAATTTTTCTCAAAGATATATTTATTGCTAACAGTAAATAGGCATGATCAACAAATAGAAGGTTATGGGTTTACTTTTGCCATAAATCTCTATATTGGTTTTATTTTCACCATATTAGTCTAACATTAGTTTTTGGTGAACTGATGAATAGGGTGGGTGAGCACCATAATTATAGGTATGGGAACTGCTATGAGACTTGTACTGTAAATAGGTTTATATCTGGAGAAGTTGATAATTTGTGGAATCGTATGCTTGTTGATACATTGTATACTAATAGTCTAGATTTTTCCAGTTTGTTTTTGGTACAGGATGTAGATGTGTAATGTTATAATAGTTAGTTAGAGCGGTATTTATTTCACATTGTTTGAGGAATTGGGCTGACATCAGTGTTGCTATTTTCTTTATTAAACAAAACACAGAATAAACAGCATGGTTAAATTGCTTATCAACTTGAAAAACCTTCATTTCAATACAATAACTTTGAAATTCCATTTCCAGAAAAATGTTTCAATATACACGTGTTAGCTTCGTTCACATCCATCTTTACTATTCTGTTAACTAAGTGAAAAATACAAATAATATAGCATTGTATGATGGCAAGAATGTGTTATATATTGTCTCTTTCAGTATGAGAAATCTTGGATAATGGCAAAAGATATGAGAGAGAAAAATTTCCAGGTACCACCTCATTTCTCAGGGTCTAGCCGAAGAAAATATGAGTACCTTGCAGGTTACTGCCCTTCTAGTACACCACCAGCATCTTCTGTAGCTTTAAACATTGCTCTGAGGGAACTGAAAGAACACTTAAAGAAATCACAAGAACAAGTACACTTTCTTTCACAGTGCAAAGCAGCTCTTTCAAATGAACTTCTTCAGCTGAAGAAGACAGAAATTGATAATCAAAAGAACTTGGCCAAATATATAAAAGAGAGTCAAGAGTTAAAAGAACGTTTTGTATCATTGTCCAAAGAAAATTCTAAGTATTTAAAAGATATGTCCTGCATAATAGAGGAGAATCGCAGATTAAAAATGCAAGTAGCTGCTACCAGTGGAAACTTTAAACAACCACATGCTGGTGTAACATATACACATTTTCAGCCATATCCTACTTATCCTTGGTGGAATGGAGAGTCGTCTCAAGAGTTGGACCAAAAACCTTATAGCTTTTCCTCTGCACTGCAGAAACCAAATAATGTTATACTTGAAAGTTGGGAGGATATTTCCCAGAAACTAGTTCTTCAGATGCAACAGGAAATGAAAGAAATGGAAGAACTGGGACAGAAACTTGCTGCTGAAGCAAGTCAAGAAAATGTAGAAAATGGCTTAGTTCATGAAAATAGTATTGTGGACTCAAATGCCAATTCAGATGTAGAAGAACTGGATGAAGAAGAGATGTTGAATCTCTGTGCAAGAATAAAGACAATAAAAGATGAAAATGCAAAAGTTAAAAAGTTACTTCTACATCAGAAGACTAGTTTACAGGACTTGGTGGACTTAATAGGAGAAAACCTAAGAGGTAAGCAGAATTCTGTGAAAGTTTAAACCATGTTTATGTTTTTTTGGATGTGGGGGCTTCATTATGAACACCAGTTATGAATCATAAAATAAGGGTCATTTATGTTTTAGAACTCCACATTTCTTTTATTCAAGATATATAAAAAGGAAAACATGCTATATATTAATTGTTTTGTTAGCTTGCTACCTATATTGTTGTGTGACATGTTGATGACGATAAGTAAAAATAAAGGCAGTCTTTTAAACAGTCAAGTATTTGAACAGTTTGGTACATACAAAGCAAATGACTGTTTTTACTCATTGTCTGTGCTGAGATTAAATCTTGTTGCCAACTATAAAATGAAGAACACTCAATTTGCAATGTAATGTTTTATTATTACAATATTTTTTAATTACATGATAGGCATGATACATGTAGCTTTTCTTGTACTAATTCTCCTTTGGCACTAAGCTTGCTCAACCTCTTTAGGTGTGCTTGGGTTAAGGACTAAAAACACTTCTGATGGCAAGGATACCCCACTGATGACCCAAGGCAGAGTAGTCATAGATACACTTTTTATGGTTTGCCTGTCACTCATAATCAAGACTAATTATTATTAGTTATTGTTGTATATTTTTTTAGCAGCTCTTCTGGATGATGTTTCTATCTAATGACCAATTGGGATTTATTCTAAACCCCAACATCAGTTGTATTTTTTACATGATGTTCTCATGATTTCTTTAATTTTTGTGATGACCATAAGATAGTGTTATCAACATCATAATGAACAAATACAAAAATTAAAAAGAATATAGTTTTTTTCTTTCAGATTTTAAAACTTGGGATCCATAGTGCATCCTTCTTAGTTGCCTGAGGACTAGTTGGTATAATAACTAATTATTATTTATCTGTAAAGATGTCTGTGAATCACTAACTGACACTTCTATTCTTGTACGTACATACACAAACCCATGACACTTACTAACCACAACATGACCTGTTACCATTGATGTGAAGAAAGTATAGAAATCTGACCAACTTTTTATCTCTAGACAATGTATAGCAAGGAAACAGTCTTTAAAAGATTTTCAACGTGTTCAGTTACAGTGTTAGTGTGTATAAAAAAAAACATTTTTCACGTTTAACTTGTCACATGTATGATATAGGGCTAATGTGTTGGAAGTGAGAATTGCATGTGTGCTTATTTAAAGTGAGAATTGTCTGAAACAGTTTTAAATATACTTTTGTATTCTTCTTGTACAGGACATTACCTAATAATAAAAACTTGTTTCAAAATAGGTAAAACAAGTTCATACAGATGTTCAAGTTTCCAAAGTGCCAATGGACAGGAATCGGCGAGTAAAGAATTTAGTTCCGACTCGTCAGCAAAAGATAAGATTGATCCTCGTGCACTCCGACATGGTCGTCCTTCGGATGATACTTTTCGAGCATATTTCACTCGGCAGTTACAGAACAGTCCCATTTCTTCTTCCAGAATTTCTGAAGAAATGGCAGACGTTAAAAATATACCACCAAAAACACAGAGTCTCCCATTTGACAGAACAAGTCAGTATGATTGTCCCCCAACTCACTGTATTATTGAATGTGCTAGTGAAAGTAAACTCTCTGATCAGGATACACATTCAGCATCAAACTGGAGAAAAGATTTTCAGCTAGTGAACAAACCAGTTGTTGAATTACAACATGTACCGACACACGTGTTTGATAAAATTGATGAAGCAGAAGAGATGGTTATCCCCAGAAAAAACAGTGAAGAAGAGAAAATTTGTCCCATGTGTCAGGCAGTGTTCCCTGCCAACTTTCTGCAATCTGATTTTGAAAACCACGTGATTTCTCACTTTGAATCAGACAACTTAGAGACATTAACTTTGCTTAATCAGTATGAACTTTTATGAAAACTTAAATGGACTTGAATGATTATTACTTATATCTACATCTTCTGAGTGAACATCTGTTAAACAACAGGCAGAAGCACTTTTATCTGAACTCGTCTCTTTCTCCTTTGCCAGCTATGTGATCTTTGACAGAAAAAAAAGCAATTAAATGTTGGAATAAATGTTTGGGAAATTTAATGATTTACTTTGCAAAAATGTACTCTTGTTAAAGGTCTGTAGTACTGTTTATGTTGTACAAGTGTTAAGGAACTCTTTTTAATCTGTAAAGTTAGTCTTAAAAGTTTTCTTCATAGCTGTTCAAAGTTAGTTTAATATGAAACTAATTTGTCACAAACTTTCATAATATAGACTGTGAAGTTTTACCACCAGTATTAATAATACTATAACAATTTTTTTAGGTGTATATTATATTATTTCATTTTATTTCTAATTATAAGATTTTTGATGATTAGTTACTATTAAGTCCTTTTGCTACATGCACCTTCTCATCCTTTCTGTAGTAGGACTACTGTTATATTATAATTTCACTTATATTAGTTCATACTGACTTTTTTTTGTCATTTGCTGGATGGTGTAAATTGAAAAATCATTTAACAGAAATGATAATAAAAGTTCCCATCCAAGTAAAGACATTCCCGATATTTTCAACCACTTCATACTTGAAGAAGACAGAGCATTAGTCTGTCAAAACATGTAGTATGTATTAAATCATTTCATTATGCTGACAAATCATTGTGTCTTATATATATATATATATATATATATAC